ACCATTTTAATCTGTTTTTCTAATGATGTATTAAAATTTTTTTTCAAATACTATTTGCTCTGTAGGTTTAAAATATATATGTTGAGGTATCACAAAATACTTCACATCAGTACTGACCTAATCCTAGTAAAATGAGTCACTTTGCTATAATATAGCTCAATTTCTTTCCTTTCTTTTGTGTCATTATTGTCATATATATTTTAGCTATGTGTGATATAAGCTAAACAATGCAGTGTTATAATTCCTCTTTGAAATCATATTTTTCAAGAAATTAAGAGTAGGAAAAAGCAGAATATATATTTAATCATTATTTTATATTTAATTATATATTTACCATTTATAACTGCTCATTTCTTCCTGTGGATTTAAGTTACTATCTGGTGACATTTCCTTTCAACCTGAAAAATGTCCTATAGCATTCCTTGTAAGAATGGTTGGGTACTAACGAACTTTCTCAATGTTTACCTAGGAGTATCTTTACTTTCATTTTTGAATAATTTTTTTTGATACAGAATTCTTGGTTAACAGTTTTATATGCATCACACCCCCAGCACACTGAATATGTTATTCTACTGCCTTCTGGACTCCGTTGTTTCTGATGCAGAGTCTGCTGTTAATTGTTGTTGTTACTCTACACAACGAATTGTTTTACTCTTGCTACTTGCAAGGTTTTCTGATTGTTGTTGTTAGCTCTCAACAGGCTGATTATTCTATATTTATTCTACATTTGGTTTGAGCTTCTTGGATCAGTAAATTGTTGTTTTCATCAAATTTGGGAAGTTTTTGTCTACTACGTATTCCTTTGAATATTCAATTTACACACCTTTCTCCCTCTTCTCAAGTCATAGACCCCCCAGTTTACATGTGTTGGCATTCTCCATGTTGTCTCATTTGATGTCTCTGTTTATTTCTTTTAAAAATCTTTTCTCTGTTCTTCATGTTAGGTAAGTTTTATTTATGATTTCTCAGTTTACTGATTCTTTATTCTGTCATCTTAAATCCGATGATGAACTCATCTAGTGAATTTTCCTTTCTGTCATTGTATTTTTCATCTAGAGTTTTTATTTATTTTTATATTTTATATTTCTCTATTTTGGTGCTTGGTATGAGTCATTGTTATTATATTTTCCTTTCATTCTTTTTTTGATTTTTATAATTGCGGTGAAATTCACTGTTTTAAAATGTACATGTAATTCACTATTTTAAAGTGTACAATGCAGTGGCATTTAGGACATTCACAATGTTTTTCTAAAACATTTTCATCACTCCATAAAGAAACCTTATGCCCGTTAGGCAGTTGCACCCTATTTCTCCCTTCACTCAGTCCCTAGCAACCACCAATTTGCGTTCTTTATCTCTGGATTTACCTTTTGTGGATATTTCATGTAAATGGTATCCTATGATATTTTGTGTCTGGCTTCTTTCACTGAGCATAATGCTTTTGAGGTTTATCTACATGGTAGCATATATCAATGCTTCATTTATTTTCATGGCTGGATAATATTTCATTGTATGTATATACCATGATATCTTCATTCATCTGTTGATAAACACTTGACTGTCTCCACCTATTTGCTATCATGAATAGTGCTACTATAACTATGCATGTACATGTATTTGTCTGAGTACCTATTTTTAATTCTTTTGACGATATATGGGTAAGTGGAATTGCTAGGTAATATGATAATTCCATGTTTAGCTTTTGAGGAAATGACAAACTGTTTTCTGCAATGTCTGCACCATGTCACGTTGTACCAGTGATGTAGAAGACTTTTGATTTCTCCACGTCCTCGCCATGTTATTTTCTGTATGAAGTATAAAGTGTTACCTCTTTGTGGTTTTAATTTTCATCTTCCTAGTGACTAATACTGTTGAGCATTTTTTTTTTTTATGTACTTGTTGGCCATTTGCATATCATTTTGGAGAAAGGCCTATTCAAGTACCTTGTCCACTTTTTAATTGGGTGTTTATTTTTTCTTGTTGAGTTGTAAGAATTCTTCATGTATTCTGAATGCTAGATTCTCATTAGATATGTGCTTTGCAAATATTTTCTCCCATTCTGTAGGTTGTCCTTTTGTCGTTAAGGATACCCTCCTTTGATATAAAAAGTTTTTATTTTAATAAAGTCTAATTTATCTATTTGTCTTTCATTGCTCATGCTTTTGGTGTCCTATCTAAGAATTGGATTGCCAAATCCAAGATTGTGGAGATTAACCCTAAGGTTTCTTCTAAGAGTTTTATGGTTTCAGCTCTACATTTAGGTTGCTCATCCATTTTGAGTTCATTTTTTGATAGAATGTGAAGCAGTAATTTCTCTTTAATTTTTAAAACATAGTGTTCTTTAATTCTTTGAGTGTATTTCTGGATTCAGAGTCTAGAGTGCTCACCATTACACCATGGAACCATGAATGCATTTCTAATAGCTGCTTTGAACTCTCTGTCTGCTAAATCCAAATCTAACATCTGGGCCCAGTCAACATCAGTTTATATTGATTCTCTTTTTTTCTTCCTGAGTATAATTTATACTTTACCATTTCTTATCATTTTTTTGTTGAAAACTGGGCATTTAAAATAATATTTTGTAGCAACTCTGGATTATAAATTTTTCTGTAAGTATTAAAAAAAAGTAACTTGCCTGGACTTCATATATGAAATCGGACTTCTAATCATGCGTGGTTGATACAACTGTTTAGTTTCTTAAATTCTTATTTTTATCTTTAGCTTGATTTCCTAAGAGTTGCTCCTGTGTCTGCACAGATTAGTAGTCGGTCAGTCATTGGAAGATGCTCAGTGCTTCCATACTCTGCTGACTGATTTGCAGATGGGTTGTAGCTTGTACCCCACGTTCAGGCAGTTTTCAAATCTGCCTTTAGATTTAGTTCTACTTTCTGTTGAGCTCTCTTGAGTATTCCTGGCACATGCTAGAGGCTCTCTAGGTAGCCAAAGATGTGTGTATAGCTTAGTTATTTCTTCAAGGATATTCTCATTAAATTTCTGGTTGTCCTACCATTCACCCCAACTGGGACTGCAGTTTTAGCAGGGCTGTGGGTTTTCCTCCTTAATTTTCTTCTGAGTTTGCAACTTTTACTGACAATACAACCAAGTACTTCACTCCCAAACAGATCAGCCCTGTTTGGCAGTGAAAATGCTGTTTTCCCAGCCAGCCTTGTCCTGAAAAAAATACCATGCCAAGTTAGCTGGGGAAGGAAATGGAGCAGCCCTAGGCAAGAAAGTCACTAGATCCTACTGTTCTTACTCAAAATTCTTGCAGTCTTCATGAATACATGCTCCCAGTTTGTTGTTTGCTTTGGGTCAATGTTATGGATAAAGTTTGTGTCTCCCCAAAATTAATATGTTCAAACCCTAATCCCAGTATGATGATATTTAAAGCTGAAGACTTTGAGAGGTGGAGCCCTCATGAATGGGATTAGATCCCTTATAAATAGGCCCCCAGAAAGCTCTGTCACTCTCTTTCTGCCATGTGAGGATACAAAGAGAAGTTGGCAGTCTACACCCTGGAAGCCAGCCCTCACCAGAACTCAACCCCTCTGATCACAGATTCTCAATTTCCAGAACTGTGAGATATAAATTAGGTTGTGTTATAAGCCGCTTAGTCTGTGTTACTTTGTTATAGCAGTCCAAATGGACAGAGGCAGTCAATTTCCAGAGCTCTTAGTGTTTGTTTTTGATAGTTTTGTCCAGTTTTTACTTGTTTTATGGGGAGAAGTTTACTGAAGTTTTCTCCACCATGGCTAGAAATCCTGCTACCTCAATAACTGTTTTTTAAGTTTGAGTTTTTCATTTTTACCTAGTTGAAGAGATCATAGTCTTCTCTATGGCTCTGCCCTTAGTTTCATGTTTTGGATTTCTTCATTCTAAGATTACACTGTAATTAACAGAAATTTTATATTATAATGTAATGGTTTCATTTTTCCATTCAAATATTTAGTCATTTCACATTTATGTATTTCATTGTATTGAGGCAGGATTGTAGCTCATTTTTTCTTCTTGTTGTTGGCTAGCTGTCCATACCAATTTTTGAATAATTTATTTTCTGGTTGATTTGGAAAGCAAGATTTTTAATGTTTGAGTGATATATTTTCTTACTTGGATCTTTTTTCTGTTCTGTTGATTAATTTTTTTATTCACACTTTCTTTTATTTTTATTCACTCATTTATTTGAGATGGAGTTTCATTCTGTTGCAGAGGCTAGAGTGCAATGGTGCAATCCTGGTTCACTGCAACCTCTGCTTCCCAGGTTCAAGCAATTCTCATGCCTTGGCCTCCCAAGTAGCTAGGACTACAGGTATGTACCACCATACCATATAATGGCTAATTTTTGAATTTTTGGAGAGATGGGATTTCACCATGTTGGTCAGGCTGGTCTCAAACTCCTGACCTCAGGTGATCTTCTCTCCTCAGCCTCTCAAATTGCTGGGATTACAGGCATGAGCTACTGTGCCTGGCCTTGTATTCGCTCTTTCTTAGAAATGCCACATTGTTTTAATTATTATACTTTCAGAATGCCTTCTAATAGAGAGTATGACAAGATCCTACCCCCTGCCCTTGCACATTTTGAACCATACAATGGGCTCCCATTGTCCACACTGCAGAGTTAGCGTTCATTGATTCACTAATTCCTGCATCCTACAGATGTTTATTGAGCTTGTATCTTACGTCAGGCAATGTGATGCTTAGGGATTCAACGGTGAGCCACACTGGCCTAGTTTTTGCCTTGCTGAGATTTGCAGGTTGGCATGCAGACAGGAAAAAAGGTAAACAGACAAACTCATCAAATGCCTGAAAATTCTAACAAGCAACATCAGACAAAGAATCGATATGGGAGATTTCTGTTTCAGAAATTAATGTGTAAGTCAAAGCCTGCAGGATAGGTAGGAGCCAGGTAGGAACTAAACATTGTTTTTGTTGTTTTTTTTTTCCCAAATGCTTGTTCATTTGTCCCAACGCCACTAGTTACAGAATTTCTCCTTTTTCCATAGGTGTGGGAGGGAGCAGACCATGTGAACGGAACAGCACATGCTCATACGCTGACATGGAAAGGAGCCAGAGGACCTGAAAAACAACCTGCATTAACTCACTTAGGAGAGTGGCCTGACCTGGTGTGTATGAGGGGTTGAGATGGTCAGGGAGGGGGCAGTGGGCAGATCATGCTGGGCGTTGTAGACCATGGAGGGGAAGTTGGATTGCATCCTTAGGGCAGCAGGAAGCCCCTTATCGGGTGGCTCCAGGGCAGCGGTGCACTATGGTTTAAGACCACTGTGCTGTGTGTGGTCTGGATAAAGGCTGAGTGCCTGCAGGGGTGAGTGAGAGGGGGTGGAGTCCAGACTGAGGGAGGGGAGACAGGGTGGGTGGCCAGATGATGGACAGCAGGTCCTACTGATGGGCCAGACATGAGGCAGATGGAAAGGAGGGCAATTCTCTCCCCCTGCAGCTTCTGGCAACCGGCCTTTTTGGTTATTAACTGGGGCAGGCAGAGAAGAAATCCCTGGTTAGGTTCCTGTGGGTGAACAGAGCCCCCAACAAACTGCCTTTCTGTAGCCAGCATCTACCCTGAGACAGGAGCATCCTCTGTGAGTGCCTTGGGAGATGATTGGTGTGGGGATATAGCACACTTCTTTGGAAATCCAGTGGTGTGGATGGCGAGGGGGTGACACCCGGCCTCTTGCTAAACAGCACGCACCAGGCTGGGGAGGGCTGAGAGCGTGGCAGGAAAGGCGATCCGTGCAAAAGCAAGACGTAAACAATTGACAGAATGTTATGGGCTGAACAGAAATGTCAGGGTATTAAAGTGGGTGTCTGAGAAAACAGACAGTTGCTATCTGAGATGATGTATAAGCCAGTGCCAGTTGTCACAAATGTGTGAGGTGCCTCTGTGAGCAGAGAGGAGGCTGAGCTGCATTTTAGGAAGGCAGGCGGTAGGGGCTCTGAACTGGGCCAGGCCCTACCGCAGTGGGGATGGAGCCAGATGCCCTCCCACACTGCCCGCTGTTCTGCGCCTGGCTGCCGCCCTTCCGGTTACACGCAGAGTGCATCTCCCTGGCTGGAATGGGAGTTTCATCAGGACAGTGTGTGACGTGGTCCCCAAGAGTCCTGCTCCCTGGTGGACATGCCCAACCTGACGTTCTCCCCGGGTGTGGGTGAGCCCTGTGTATGTGATGTGGTGCATGGCAGAGGTGAAAGGATTTTTAAAAATTTGATTTATTTATTTTGTATTTTAGATTCAGGGTCCATGTGCAGGTTTGTTCCATAGCATATTGCATGATGCTGAAGTTTGAGCTTCTGCTGAGCCCCTCACCCAAATACTGAACATAGTACCTGATAAGAAGCTTTTCAGTCCTTGCCCCCTCTCTCCTTCCCCACTTCGGAGTCCCCAGTGTCTCCAGTGTGAATCATGGACTTCTCCTTCTCACTGCTGGGTGCCCAGCATCTTCACCCATTGTGCTTGGTGTACTTTAGTGCCCAGATGCCTCTCTGGGGATTTGAGCTGTTTTATCTTTGGTCCTTATTTCTCTACATTCAAACAGCTTGGCTTATTCCTGATGGTCTTAAAGACAGAATCCCCCCGTTTTTATAAAATGCACTGTGGCCGTTATTGAAAAGAAGAGGACAAAGTGAAAATCCGATGAAAGTAGAAAAATGGTGTGTTCAGCATCAAGGCCAGAGAGCAGGTGGCATAGGATATTCTGGAGGGTACTGGGTGCCAGCCTTGGCCGTAGCTCCCTAGCACTCTCTGGGACGCCACGGGGAAACCAACTCAAACCACTTATCGTGGCTACTATCAGATTAGATGATCTCTTAAACACAAGCTTTCAGATTCTCTGAGGGTTAAACGTGTTTGCCAGCAATATTTAAAGCTACAAAGTTATAAGACAACCAATGGTTTAGCTAGTTACTTGGAAATTATTACAGAGGGATTTAATTTACACAAGAAGAAAAGAGATTGTTCTCTGCCCTCCAAGGGCCACGCAATGTAATGGGTGATTGGGACAGCACTGACTGGGTGCAGTAGCTCATGCCTATAATCCCAGCACTTTGGGAGGCTGAGGCGGGGTATCACGAGGTCAAGAGATTGAGGCCATCCTGGACAACATGGTAAAGCCCCTAAAATACAAAAATACAAAAATTAGCTGAGCATGGTGGCGCGTGCCTGTAGTCGCAGCTACTTGAGAAGCTGAGGCAGGAGAATCACTTGAACTCGGGAGGCAGAGGTTGCAGTGAGCTGAGATCACGCTACTGCACTCCAGCCTGGCAACAGAGGGAGACTCCATCTCAAAAAAAAAATAATAATAATAATAAAGAAAATAAAAAAAAAAAAAGAAATGGGACAGCATTGAAACATACATTTTTCGGAAAGCTCGTTATTGAAAATACTGAGGCCTTCTGCTAACCCTGTCATTCCCTCACAGAGCTAAGAGTCCTCCATTGACAGCAATACCTTGTTTTATGCCAATGTCCTTGGATATTTCCATGTAAGCCCACATTTCAGACATCGAGTTAAATATGCAACCGATGCTTGGTGCTTTTTCAGGACTAGATGTATCAGAGAGGAAGACACAAATGCACATACAGAAGCACAGGATGTGCCTATCTCAAGTAGAAAGGGATTTCACGTTGGCAATGTAACGCTTCCAAAGCCGTTTGAAAGGTCAGAGGAGAGAAGGTCGAACTGGCTGAGGTTCTCTGACATGCTGCTGGCTTTCAGAGACTCCAGACTTTGCTAGCAAGCACCAGCAATGGCTACAGTTGCCTCCTGCGCATAGCTGGGACTTTGCAGGCTGTCATCCAAGTTCATCCAGCAGAACCTGTGCATCTGCCACTGCTGTCCCAGGAAAAATGATATGGCTCCTGCCCATTAAATACTGGGCAACTGTTTCCCTCGTTGGCCCATTTCATGAGATTCCAGAAAATATAGTTTCCAGGTTTCTAGCCCCTGTGGTGGGGGAAGAATGGAGGAGAGGGGTGCTGCCTCAGATTCAGCAACAGACAGCATGGAGCCCAGAAAGCTGCAGGAACACGGTATTGAGCCAGCATGTGGCTTGCCACAGATAATGCAGCTGACTCCAGTGATCTTTAGGTTCATGGATGACAAAGTGCCCCTTAACTCTTCCAATCTCCTAGGGAAATGGATGGCAGGAAAACCAATGTCAAGTCCACGGAGGCAGCAGGGAGACAAGTGCAAGGAGGGTGTGTGATTCCTCATCAGTGCTGGCGCTGGAAGCAGAGGCCGGGTCTCCTGGATGGTCATCCCCTCTTCCCCTGGCCCTGTAGGGCCATCCCTGTCATGACAGTAGGAGAGAAAGCAGAGCCACAGAAGGAGAGAAGAGATGATAGAGGGAAGAGAAGGTGGGGGTGGGAATGCAACCTGCAGGTGCACATGAAAGTGACCACATAGCTCCGTATGGTAATTGGAGAGTTCCTGAGAAGGCAGTTCTCCGGTGAACCAGGCTTGGGCAACCCTGGAAAATTTTGGAGGCATGATGTAGAGCTGTGCTTGCACATGTGTGCTTGCGTGTGTGTGCATGTGTGTATGCAGTGAAACAAGCAAGGTAAAATAGAGGCATGTCATGGTGGCCCATCCTCCAGCCAATAAAGAGATCTGTGCCTGTGAATCAGCCTCTCGTGCTTCCTTCCCCCTGATTGAGATCCTGCCTGGCTCCTGAAGAGTATAGATGGATGGATGGATACATAGATAGATAGATAAATAGATGGATGGATGGATAGGTGGATGGATGGATGGATAGCTAGCTAGCTAGCTAGGTAGATAGATGGACAGATAGTTAGATGCATGGCTGGATCCTGCAGAGCACAAGGACCAACCTAACAAAAACCTCAGGAAGGGTGTGAAATACTTAGCCTTTGAGACCAGAGTGGTTCAACTATGGGAGCTGCCTTTCCTTTGCCTAGATGAACAAGCTTGAGTTTCTGCTTTGTGTTCAGAGGCTGAGGCCAGGTGAGGTGCAAGGAGGCTCTATGTTCTGCCTGGAACCATGGGTGGATTCCACACGGAAAGGCTGAAGTAAGAAGGGGAAATCCCGGACGCCTCCCCTTAAGGTCCAGATGGGCTTTCCAGATCTGTTTCATTGAGATGTCCTCTCTGGAGGAAAGCTGTGGTTATTGAGCACTGGGATGGGTGAGGACAGGCCATTTGTCACAAGCAGGGCAGAGGAGGGGACTTTGAAGTTTAGAGGTCAAGTTCGTGCCCCAGGTTTTGGTCCCCCAACATGTGAATTTGACTCAGGATGTGAAACGTGGTCGAGGAGACAGCCAACCCATGAAGCCCCTGGTGGCCCTGCGCTCTTCCTCTGATGGTCAGATATTTTCCCTTGGATAGGAAATAAGAAACAAGCAACTGCTCCAAGTCACTGCAGGGGAAAAGGAATCTTGAAGGCAGAGCCCACAGCCTACTGCAATTGCGAAGTTTCTCTATCATCTCATGATTTGTTTTTAAGTCATGAACGTTTGTATTCTATTTATTACTATCTATCTGCTTTAATGAAAAAAGTTAATGATTGAGCTTCATTATGTCATCAAAGTGATCTATAGGAGGACCTGTCCCCCTTTCCCTGTGGCTTCATCCTGTGCCTCTCCCCTGGCTCCACGTGCCATACCCCCACCCTGCCTCGCATGGATGAGAGTCCTCTGGTTTGAAAGACTTTGTTGAGAGGATAGTGTTTTGGGAATTCCTGGATCTCAGCCTCCCTCCATCCCTCTGGCAAGGTAGCAGCACACTGGTACTCAGGTTCAGGCTGTGATTTTTCAGGGCAGCAGTTGTATTAGTCAGGGTTCTCCCGAAAATCAGAACCTATCAGATGAATGGGTAGATAGATAAGTAATAGATATAGATAGATAATAGGTAGAGAAATAGATGACATAGATAGATGATAGATATAGATAAATGATAGATATAGATATATATCAATAGATGAATGATGTAGATAAATAGTTAATAGATAGATGATAGGTGGATGATAGATTAAATAAATACATGAATGGATAGATGGATGGAGGCATAGACAGATAAATGGATGGATGAATGGATAGATACATGGAAGGATGGATACATATATGTATATATGTATAGATAGATGTATGTATGTAT